TTTTTTTTTTTTTTTTTGGAAGGGAGTGCTGATAGAGTATGTTCTGTTCTGTTTCATTTTGTTTTTTAACACATTGTTTCTTATTATAGCAGCAACTTACTTTTGATAATGGAACTATAATAAGGACAGATGCTAATTTAATCCTCTTACATTTGAGCTTAAGGAACTCTGGTACCTGCAATTGTTAAGTACTTGGCTCTTAACCAGAAGGTTGGGAGTTCCAACCCACTAGCTACTCCATGGGAGAACAGACATGGGGATATACTTGCATAAAGAGTATAGCCTTGGAAGCCCTATGGGACAGTTCTACTTTGCCCTCTGGGGTCGCTATGAGTTGAAACGGACTCTACAGCACATGACAACAACAACATTTGAGGTTGGCTCTTACCTCTTCCCTGACTCAATTTCTCCCCATTCAAAATATAGTGCCCAGTAGTTCTCAATCATTAGCATAAATTTGAATCACTTGGAAGGCTATTAAAACACCTGTTGCTGAGCCCCACACCCAGAATTTCTGATTCAATGTGTCTAGGGTAAAACCAAAAACCAAACTCACTGCTTGATCCTGCCTCATAGTGACCCCTCTTTGGGTTTCTGAGTCAGTATCTCTATGGAAGTAGATTGCCCAGTCTTCCTTCTGAGGAGTGGCTGGTGGGTTTGAACCACAGCCTTTTGGTTAGCAGTCAAATGCCTTAGGCACTATGCATTTCTAACAAGTTTCTAGTTGATGCTGATGCCACTGGTCTGGGGACCACACTTAGAGAACTGCTGCCCTTAAAAAAAGGTGATGATTCTTTAAATTCTCACCTTTAATAAAAAAGAGAAGATGGAGTCCCTGGGTAGTACAAATAGTTATGCACTTGACTACCAGCCTCAAGGTTGGTGATTCTGCTCACCCAGAGGAGCTTGGGAAGACAGGCCTGGTGATTTGCTTACAAAAGCAGTTCTACACTGTGCACATGGGATTATGAATCAGAATGGACTCAAGGCAACTAGCAACAACCACAGCAGTTTTGTTTGTGTCTGCCTTAGAAGAAAGACCTGGTAATCTACCTTTTTTTTAAATTGTGATTTGGTTGAAAGTTTACAGAGCAAATTCATTTCCCATACAATAATTCATACACATTTTGCACAACAGTTTTTAAAAGTGCAGAAGGGGTGAGTGATCAATATGGTGGCGCTGAGGAAGAGAAAGACATAGGGAGGTACATGGGAGGTACAGACAACAAAGATGAACCCTTTTGCACATACAGCACTGTGTTGTCAGTGAAGGCAAACATGCTATATGGGTGGATAGATGGGTGGACAGATGGGTGGACAGGCTGAACTAATAGGTATATTTATGAAGCAGGGGGACGTACCCAAGAACATGTTTAGGGTTGGCAGACAACGGTCCTATAAGTTTATGTGTATGAATTCCCAGATATATAGTAGAGCAGACAAGGGACAAGGTGGTAGAAGCAGATTTCTCCTGTGGAGTGCTGGGTGTGGTCGAACCACTGACCTTTCAGTTAGCAGTTGAGTGCTTTAACAGCGCAACCAGGGCTCCTGACCAACATACAGTAGGAGTAACTGTGAATATATATTTGCTGAATAAAGCAGATGAAGACTGGTATCTCTAAATAAAAGATAACAAAATGTCTTTCTTAGACTTTGCTTCACAAAAGCCTCTTCTTTAACCTAACTCTTACTAAACCAAAAAAACCAAACTCACTGCCTTGGAGTCAATTTCAAATCATAGTGACCCAAGAGGATAGGTAGTAGAACTGCCCCATAGGGTTTGCAGGCTTTAAAACTTTACAAAAGCAGATTATCTCATCTTTCATGGAGCGGCTGTTAAGTTCAAACCACCAACCTTTTTGGTTAGCAGCTGAATGCTGTAACTACCATGCCACCAGAGCCCTTTAATCCTTATTTTACAGGGAAAAATAGTCTTGGAATTTTGGGGTTTTTTTTGACAGTTGGGTTTAAGTTTCTAAGTTTTTTCTATTTTTGGATCTCAGGTTTATTTGATAAGTTACTCTAATTTCATCTTGTTCTTAGCTGTCAAATCGGCTCCAACTTGTGCCTATCTTATGTATAACAGAACAAAACATAGAGCCATTATTTTTATTACAGGTAAAACTATCACTAAGATGTTTTTCATCTACAAGTAGACCTTAGTTGGAATTCAAGATAAATCTGCCTCATGCTAAATTCTGTATTGTAATGTAAATGTAGTTGATCTATAGTGTATTTACAATTAAGGGGGAAATGTATACCAAGAATTAAGTTTTTGAAGAAAATATTAAAATTTTATCTTTTGTATTACTGAACTCTGGTGCTGTAGTGGTTAAAGCATTTATTGCTAACCAAAATGTCTGCAGTTCAAACCCACCACCTGCTCTATGAGAGAAAGATGAAGCAGTCAGTTTCTGTAAAGATTGATAGCCTTGGAAACTGTAGAGGGTAGCTCTGCTCTGTGCTGTAGGATTGCTATGAGTCAGAACTGGCTCAATGGCAGTGGGTTTGGCGTTTTTATTGTTACTATAATTAGTATTATAAGCCTTAATATTTGAAGGGCTTTTTTAAAATAAAGAAAATTCTAAAGATAAAATTGGCATATTAAGTCAAAATTTGTTTTACCACAATTTCAAATGTGCTTTTTACCAGTGTGAAATACCTCTGTAAATACTGTGTACAGTAACAAGTTACAGGGAAATTGTAATTGTTCCTTTTTTTTTGTTGAATTATATTTTAAAATATGAATAATTACCAAAGCAGAGTAAATGATAACTTTCATGATTACTGCAGAAATGAATAGATTTGTAGATTTATTACTCTCCTTTGGAAAATTAGAAATAAAACTTTGGATTTTATGAGTTTTTTTTTTAATAATAGGCAATACTTTTTCTATACCATTTTAATGTTTAATTTTTAATATCAAAACTAATATCATTATCTCTTTTGTATACAGGTTCGATTAGTGATAGTGGATGGTATTGCTTTCCCTTTTCGTCATGACCTAGATGACCTCTCTCTCCGGACACGGTTACTAAATGGCCTTGCCCAGCAAATGATCAGCCTTGCAAATAATCACAGATTAGCTGTAAGTATTACTAGTCAAGATAATTTTATAATAAAATCAAGATTGTATAATAAAATTGATTTTATAATAAAATTAAGATTGTAAGAGAAGGGCAGCGTACCAAATGTACGTGATCAAAATGGTGGCATTGAAGAAGAGGAAGACAGAGAGAGGTACATGGGAGGTACAGACAACAAATATGAAACCTTTTGCATGTACAATAATGCATTGTCAGTGATGGCAAGTATTGATCTACAGGTGGATAGATGAGTGGACAGGCTAAATGATCAGGTATGTCTAGGCAGAGGGTTATGTTCTCATGACCATGTATAGGGTTAGAAACAATGTTTCTACATGGGTATTTGTATGCACTGTAAGAATGTCCAGGTGTGTAGTAGAGCTGTCAAGGGGCAAGGTTGGGGTAGCTTCTTGGTCACAGCCAGCTTCCTGGAGGGAATGAGTAGTTGGACTGGTAGGCTTGGGATCACGGTTACAGGTGACATCAAGCTTAATTGGCATACCATATCACACAAAAACATTGTTCTACATCTACATCCTACTTTGGTGAGTAGCGACTGGGATCTTAAAAGCTTGTGAGCAGCCATCTAGATGCAGTGATGGGTCTCTCCTTGTCCAGAGCAAAGAAGAATGAAGAAAACCAAAGACTCATGGAAATAATTAGTTCAAGGGACTGGTAGACCATGGGATCCTCATGTGATATGACCATGAGACCAGAAGAACTAGATGGTTCCCAGCTACCACTGGCAGCCACTTGGAGGGGGATCAGTGCAGGAGATCCTGGACAGAGTGGGAGAACAATGTGGAAAAAAACTCAAAATCATTAAAAAAAAAAACCCGAATTTGCTGGTCTGATAGAACCTGGTGAGACCCCTGAGACTATGGACCCTAGCCACCCTTTCAAGTCTGGAATTGAACTCACTCTTGTGGCTTCCAGCCAAACAGTAGACAGGCATATGGGGTGAACATTTGTATCAGGTAGATACATTCCTTGAAACGATGAATCATGGGAGATCAAAAGGGCAGTGTTTGCACTGGGAGATAGCTGGGTGGTATGGGGTGCATAGGAGGGAAGGACACAGGGAAGAGGTTAACTACAGGGAGGAAGTGTTATTCCAGAGAGGAAGAGAGCTGTTACATTGTGGGGAATTTCAGGGAATGTCATGAGGGAAAATGTGTATAAACTGCTGTATGGAAAATGAACTTAACTCTGTAAACTGTCATCCAAATCACAATAAAAATTAAAAAAAAAAAAGAATGTATAAAATAATTCTGCCTAGAAATAGCAAAATAGAATTTGCCTGATAGCAAATAATACAGACATGCATTAAAGTTAAAGACTGCATGAAGTATATCAGTTTTCCTGTGAAATAGCAAACATAATTGATGTCATTTTTTAAAAAAATGAACTGTGCTTAATAAGGGAGCTCTGATGGTATAGTGCCTAAGGCATTTGACTGCTAACCAGAAAGCTGGTGGTTCAAACCCATCAGCCACTCCTTGGAAGGAAAATTGGGCAATCTACTTCCATAGAGATACGGCCTCAGAAACCCAAAGAGGGGTTGCTATGAGTCGAACCAACTCGACAGCAGTATGGTTTGGTTTGGTGCTTATTAAAGGAGTGCCACTTTTAGTAATTACAGTTGTTTTCTTTGTCTAAACATATGAATGTTTTTAGGTAAGCTTTCTTCCAGTGTCCCATTTTTCTTTTGCTCTGAGTCTTTGATTATTACGTAATGTATAATCACAGGCTCAGAAGGATAGAGAAACTACATACCATAAACAATCTACATGTTTTGAGGTGGAGCTAACTCTTCTGGACATGAAATGTGAGGAGAGAGGTAAATAGAAACTCAGAAGTAAAGAGATAAAAGGAGTGAGGGTAAAAACTTTTTTTTTTTTTTTTTTTTTACTGCCTGTTTGCCAGTTGCTGTCCACTCTGCAGCCTCATCCTATCACTGACACAGATACACACCCTGATGGGGAGGGAAATGAGGGGAGGACATACTGCTTTACTTGATTTTTTCATCTTGGAGAATCCTTAGCGTATACTTGTAATACATCATAAATAAATAAATCCGTTAATAAAATTGTTTAAAAAAATACATCTTTTTTTTTTTTTTTTTTTTGAGTGTTTAGATTTTATGCCATATGCAGAAAAACATGGTGCCCTGTCTTTGAGCTGTTTCTTGGCTTTAATTTTGCATTGTTAGTATCAGTGAGGAGACTCCAGTAGGGGGCACACAAGACTAATGGCTTGTATTGTTCTTTAGGTTTTTCCCTGTTTGCTTTGTTTGAACAAAAATAGCTCATCTTTTCTGATTAAAAAAAGTAATACCACCATACACAGTGGTTAAGAAAAGTGATGTAAATATACACTATTTTCACGGAATGAGATATATCCAGATAAATGATTAAATGAAAAAATTGAAGTTACATAGCAATATATTCATTTAGTCTGTTCTTACTTTTGAGAAAAATTACATATGGGCTTTCATATTTATACATATGAAGAGAAAGATCTGCAAAGACCAAAATTTTAGCACTGGCTACCTTCTATTACACATAAGGTCACCATGAGTCAGAGCCAAGTTGGTGACTTGAAGGTAACTAACAACAGGATAAATGGAGTTATATAATATATGACCTTTTATGTGTAGTTTCTTTCACTTAGCTTAATGTTTTCAAGGTTTATCTGTATTATTGCATATATCAATATTTTATTCCATTGTGTGGCTGAATAACTTTCCATTTTATAGGTATATCACATTTATTCATCAGTCAAAGGGCATTTGGATAACAGAAGACCATAATTTCAAAGTGATTGTTATCTTATTGTTTTAAAGATTTACTCTGGGGATTTGGGAACAAAATAATTTTTGAAGCACTGAAGTCCATAATTTCAAAGTGATTGTTCCCCAACTGTTTTAAATATTTATTTTTTGGGAACTCGGGAGCACCATAATTTTCATTTGTATCATGGTACCCAGTGTTTTTGCAGGAGTAGCATAATTACTTTAAAAATATTTGCCAGTAATGCAGAATCTAATTTTGGGATGTTGAACAGCTGGTAAGCCGGTCCTATTTACATTTTCCTCCAGAGATGTAATGGGAGCTCTGGTAGCGTGGTGCCTAAGGCACTTGACTGCTAACCATAAGGTTGGCAGTTGAAACCCACCAGCCACTCCTCGCAAGGAAGGTTGGGCAATCTATTTCCGTAGTGATTCCGCCTCGGAAACCTAAGGAGGGGTCACTGTGAGTCAGCTCCGACTTGATGGCACATAACAACAACAACACAACAACAACAATCAGAGATGTAATGGATAAATTGCTCTTCTCTAAACTAGCATTGTCCAGTAGAACTTTCTACGATTATGGAAATGTGTGCATTGCTATACACATTTATCTTTGAACAGTTCTTTATAAGATGGAAGTGTCGTAAATTGAAAATCAGCCTCAAAGATATCTATCTCTTAATTCTGAGAGCTATAGAATTGGCAGCTCAACTCTAAATACAGTGTGGGCTATAAGTAAATATCCCAGTTGGTAGAACCTAAACACTTGGTAGTATGTGTATACAGTAAAAGATATTATTCATTATGTTGGGTAAGCAGATATTTTAGGGTGTTACTCTTGCAGTGGAACAGCCAGTGTTCTTATGGAACTGATGACTTTTTCAGAGTACACACATTTTTCTCATTCCTTTTCATAGAAATTCTCTTACCAGTTTCAGCTCGCAGTAGTAGCCATCATCCTTTCTAGGAGAAGGTCTGTGTTGGAGGAATCTGAAATAACCTTTTCTGGAGAATTTTGGATAGGAAAGTACCGGATAATCCAATTTTTATGTCAGCCTTAAACATATTTTTTTCCCTACTTTAAAATGATTGTCTTTTAAAACATGAATTTTTTTTCTATAGACCACTATTTAATCCTGGAGAATTAGCAATAATTTTCATCTTTAGGACCATCTGTGAGTAAAACAATACCTGTGGCTATTACTGGCAAGCCTGCATAGTCCAACTTTGGAGTCATTTGACCTGACTGTTGCAGTATTTCTTTTTCTCTAGTCCTATTTAGACTGTTGTTTTGTTTTAATGATTTTAGATCTCACAATTTTTTGCCTCAGTTTCTTCTTTATTTTTTTTTCCCTTATAAAATCTTAAGTAGTAATACTATATTTATCACTTCCCTAAAAATATAAACATTGATATATTTATTAGATTTATTCCTTTGAATAAAGGTATTCAAGGGAGGCAGTGAGGAGCCCTAGTGCAGCAGTGAGGCACTCCGCTGCTAAGTGAAAGGTCAGTGGTTCAAACACACCTGCCACCCTGTGGGAGAAAGATGTGGCAGTCTGTTTCCATAAAGATTATATACAGCCTTGAAAACCTTATGGGTAGTTCTCCTCTGTCCTGTAGGATCCTTATGAGTCTGAATCAAATCAATGGCAACTGGTTTGAGGGAGGCAGTAGTGGTAGAAAAGAACTCAATCTTTGTAAGCTTCTGATTTCTTATCTATAAAAGTAGTACCGCACTCAGAGTAGTTGTGGAGATTAGATAAGATAATGTAAAGCACTCAGCATAGTTCCTGGCTTGTGTTAAGCACTAAATGTTCATTCCCACTGTTGATGTAGCCGCTATTGTATTTGTTTCTGTTGACTTATACAAAATTCGATTTTAAAAGCAAAACTTTCCTGATGCTTCCAGTCACGAAGTTTCTTTAAGTGGCATCTGGTCTCTTTAGACCTTTCTGTATACTGGTATGTTTTAATTTTTCTATTTTCACTGTATTTTTTTCTTATAAAAATGTTTTATGATCAATAATAATGTTTTCAAGAAACTACTGATTTTTGTGGTTAATTTTTTTTAATTAAAAAAATGGTCATTACCTAGATATGTTTTTCTTTGTTGTTGTTGTTGTTATATACTGTCGAGTCAGACCTGACTCACAGTGACCCCTCCTTGGGTTTCCGAGGCAGTATCACTACGGAAGTAGATTGCCCGATCTTCCTTCCGAGGATGTTTAAGAATTGATTATATTCTAATATCAAAATCACAGGACTTGGTGACACACTACAACTTTTACTTGAAGAGACTCATCTAATTTTTTCATCTTTCGTGTTTGTAGGTAATTTTAACCAATCAGATGACAACAAAGATTGATAGAAATCAGGCCTCACTGATTCCTGCTTTAGGTGGGTAATTGAGCAGATAAAATTTTACTTAAACACATTTTTTTTAACTCTTTCATTTCATACTTGTTGAATACTATAAGCTCCATGAGATTAGGAACTGTATCTGTCATATTCACTAATAAATTTCAACACTAAGTACAGTGCTCTTAGGCACTGATCAATCATTTCACAAACATTTATAGTGTATCTGGTATGTGGCAGCTGTTGTGTCAGGTTCTAGGGATATAAATATTCATAAAATATGATCTTGCCCTTCCAAAACTCAGTCTCAGGCAAGAGGAAGAGTGAATCCAATTTAAATACAAATCACAATACAGTGAATAGAGTTTTGTACTCTGTTCCTAATCTCAGTCATGGATTTGTTAGAGCACAGTGTTTCCAGATTTATTTCCATTAAAATCTTTAAAGAATATTATGTCAGAGTTTTTACTTTTCTTCTGGAGGTCAGAAGAGGAGCCCTGGTGGTGCAGTGGTTGTTAAGATGCTTGGGTGCTAACCGAAAGGTGGGCAGTTGGAACCCACCAGCCGCTCAGCAGGAGAACGATGTGGTAGCCTGCTTCTGTAAAGATTGCAGCCTTGCAAACCCTATGGGGCAGTTTTTCTCTGTCCTATAAGGTCACTATGAGTTGGAATCAACTTGGTGGCAATGGGTTTGGTTTTTTGATTTGTTTAGACATCAGAAGTATGTTAGACCTGTTGCATGGGGGGCATTGCCAAATACACTGACTCAAAATATAAAGTTTTTTAAAAGCAAATAGAAGACAGTGATTTTTCAGTATTTCCCTGTTAATCTCAGGATGTTACCCACATCCCAGGTATTTGAAAGTAGGTGTACTCTTTTTATGTTAAATTCAGTGAAGTAAGACAGTATTTGGTCAGGGACATTCTGAGAGACTTCTTATTATAACCTAGTCGGTAAGGCAGTACAGTTATTATGTTCTTTTCTCTCAGGGGAAAGTTGGGGACATGCTGCTACAATACGGCTAATTTTTCACTGGAACCAAAAGCACAGGTCAGTAAGAAATAAGTTAATAATTCTAAATATTGGGCAAATTACACTGAACACTTGCCATTTTCTTAAATGAATTGGATGAGATCAACAATACTCCATGGATGAAAGCTTTTGTTGCCTTGTCTGATGTCACCTAGAGCAACCACAGAAACTTGCTGTTATACTGCATATTTAGCTATGTAGGAAATTCTTTGGAATATTTAAATGATGGGGTACACCTGAAACGAGTAGGTGCCTGAGGAATGCCACCTCCTAAAGCTCTTTGAAATCCAGTACTGTTTTTTAGCCATGCTGAAGAATGTGGGTACATTGTGTTCTAGAAGTGATTGAAAAAAGAATAAAATCAGGACAAAAGGAAGACTTTTGAGGTTAGCTTTAGGACTAATTTATGTGGAAAATAGGATGGTTTTTCTAAGTTAATGTATTTCTTGTATGAAATTGTGTCTCTTATTTTTGTTTCCTTTTGTATTTTCCTATCCTTTTATTTCCAGTTACTTACCTCTCTTTCTCAAGTGGTGTTCTTTAAAATAAAACTATGGCAGCATGAAACCTTTGTGTTTGTTTTCAAACCTGCTGAACAAGTGAACAAACCAGCTTTCATTTTCTCTAAAATAGTCAAGTGAAAGCTGTGGGTTCTTTTCTTGTACACTTTCAGAAATGTCAGATTTGTGTCAGCCTCTCTGCTTTGAGATTAATTGGCATAACCTAGAGAACTTGGTTTGGAAATGCTCTAATAAAATGGGAAAATGAGACAGCATATGGGTACCAATAGAAAAAAGTTGCTTAAGTGCATATTGGGTCTGGTCAGTGATACTGTTTATTTCTTTATCTACATTTCTTTGTTCTGATATAAATAAAAAATCATGCTTGATCAAAGTAGGTTTGACTAACTATAAGTTCACAAAACTGCCTCATCTTTCTCCTGTGGAGTGGGTGGTGGGTTCTAACTGCCAGCCTTTTAGTTAGCAGCCATCAGAGCCCCTCAAAATAAAAGCTGCATTGGCCAGAAATTGAACCTGGGCCTCCTGTATGTCAGGTGAGAATTCTACCACTGAACCACCAATGACAGGAAAGAAAGAAAAGATCAAAATGGATGTCTGAAGAGCCTCTAAAACTTGCTCTTGGACAGAGAGTAGCTAAAGCAAATGGAAGAAATAATGAGCTGAACAGAAGATTTCAAAGGGTGGCTTGAGAAAACAAAGCATTAAAATAAAATGTGAAAGGCCTGGAGTTAGAAAACCAAAAGGGAAGAACCTACTTGACATTTCTTAAGCTGAAAGAACTGAAATAAAAATTCAAGCCTCAACTTGCAATATTGAAGGATTCTGTGGGCAAAATATTGAATGATGCTGGGATCATCAAAAAGAAGATGGGAGGAATACAAAGAGTCACTGTTCCAAACGTTCAGCCATTTCAGGAGGTAGCATATAATCAAGAACTGATGGTATTGAAGGAAGAAGTCCAAGCTGCACTGAAGGCATTGGTGAAAAAGAAGGATGTAGGAGTTGGTGGAATACCCATTGAGATGTTTTAACAAAGGGATGCGATCCTGGAAGGCGTCACTTAGTTATGCCAAGAAATTTGGAAGACAGTTACCTGGCCAACTGACTGGAAGAGATCCATATTTGTGCCCATTCCAGAGAAAGGGGAACCAACAGAAATTATTGAAGACTATCATATGCAAGTAAAATTTTGCTGAGAACAGTTGCATCAGTACATGAACAGGGAACTGCCAGAAATTCAAGCCAGATTCAGAAGAGGATGTGGAATGAGGGATATCATTGCTGATGTCTAATGGATCTTGGCTAAAAGCAGAAAACCAGAGAGGTGTTTACCTGTGTTTCAATGACTATGCAAAGGCATTTGACTTTGTGGATCACAACAAATGATGGCTAATGTTAGGAAGAATGGGAATTCCAGAACACTTAATTGTGCTCAGGAGACGCTTGAACACAGACCAAGAGACAGTTGTTCGAACAGAACAAGGGATACTGCATGATTTAAAATCAGAAAAGGTGTGTGTTGGGGTTGTATCCTTTCAGTATACTTATTCAATCTGTATTCTTATCAAATAATCTAAGAAGCTGGACTATATGAAGAAGAACGTGCCATCAGGATTGGAGGACGATTTATTAACAACCTCTGATATGCAGATGATACAACCTTTCTTGCTAAAAGTGAAGATGACTTGAAGCAGTTTGTGTTTCCTTTAGAGATGGTATTTCCAAGGAGCTCAGGTAACTTTTTTTTTTTTTTCATAATACATAGTGCCTTACAATTGGCTCCCTCCTTCCAATTTTGTGAATAAGTCATTATATAGTGGATTTACCAAAGGAATTCTTGCCTTAATAAAAAATCTCAAACCTTTACAAACTATTGTGAAGACTTTGTAACATTTCTCCAGCTGAGTCTTTTGAACATACTGCTTACACTTTTCCAGATTTGTATTATTCTCTAACGTGTACCACACCATTTAAATGTTCTTAGAAATTCCCCTTGACCTAATATACAGTTCAGTAAGTTCCTGGGTTTCAAACATGCGACTTGACAGCTCCTACTTGCCCTGTAAGCAGGGCTTCCAATGGTTTTGAACCTGTTCTGTCATTGCTGATGAAGCAAAATAAGAACAGACCTGAATTTTTACAATTTGGGTGATTCCTTATGGTAACTAGAATGGAAAAAGTACAGGTTGAGGCCCTGGAATGGGAAATTTGAAAGAGGCATATTGAGCTCTTTCAGGAGACTGATACATGAGATTGGATTATTGTCATGCCCATGGATAGCTACACATTCAAAGCAGCATGGTTGTGCCATCTTTGAATGGGGCGCCTCCAGCTTTGAGTAGAGTAGCACTGCTTTGGCTCAGAATCCATTTTATGTTTAATGTAAATTTGCCCTCAATTGAATCAATCCCTACTCACAACAAATTCTTTATCACAATCACCTTCACTTGCTACATGTGCAACTTTTAAATAATTGAAAAGGCTTGAGCCTTTTCTTGCACTAAAGTAAGGCTAAGTAAGAACTCTGTGTGCCTATTCTGACTTACAAATTCTTAAAGACACAGTTAGGAATGGACTTGTTCATAACCTGGGAACTGCCTGTAGTAGTCTCCTCCAGGAGGAAACTTCTGAACGAAGTAAAACAATATGTACAATATGTGTTTAAAAGAATGTGTATAAGAAATTACAAAAATAATAAGAGCAAAATGTTTCTTCATTTTATGCACTCATCAGATGGAGAAGTTTTCCTCCATTGTCAGATTCTGGAAGTTAGCATTGGTTAGGTCCGTGGAAGTCAGAAAATCTTGCTTACTTTTTAACCATTTTATGACCTCAGCTTCTTCCAAATCCTGCCCAGGAAAGTAGAGAATGATATAGAACACAGACATGGAATAGATAGATATTTGGGGAAATCTTCTGTTCTATAAAATTGTTCCTATTTCCCATACTGTCATTTTAGTAAGTACTTCTGCTAGGTATTTTATTGAAAAATCCACTGCCATCAACTCAATTCCAACTCACAGCTACCTTATACAGAGTAGAACTGCCTTCATAGAGTTGCCAAGGCTATAAATCTTTGCAGAAGCAGCCAGCCACATCTTTCAGCTGTTGTGTTTGAACCACTGACCTTTTGGCTAGCAGCCAAGCATTTTAAACACTGTACTACCAAGGCTCCTAGGCATTTTATAGGCACTTTATATGCAATGTTTCATAGTCTCTTCAATAATTCTTTGAAGACTATAATCATTAAAAGTGAGGAAACTGAGGCCCAGAAAAGGTTAGCTGACTAAATAATGTTGTTGTTGTTGTTAAGTGCCATCGAGTCGTCTCCGACTCATAGCAACCTTATGTACAAGAGTATGAAACACTGCCCGGTCCTGTGCCAGCCTCACTATCCCTACTATACCTGGGTCAATCGCTGCATCCACTGTATCTGTCCATCTCCTTGAGGGCCTTCCCCTCTTTCATTGACCCTCCACTTTACCAAGCATGACATCCTTCTCCAGAGAATTGTTCCTTCTGACAACATGACCAAAGTAAGTGAAATGAAACCTGGCCATTCTCACTTCCAAGAAGCATTCCAGCTGCACTTCCTCCAGGACAGATCTGTTAGTCCTTTTAGCAGTCCATGGTACTTTCAGCATTCTTCACCAGCACCACAACTCAAGAGCATTAACTCTTTGATTTTCCTTATTCATTGTCCCCCTCTCACATGCATATGAGGGGATTGAAAATACCATGGTTTGGGTTAGGCACATCCTAGTCTTCAAGGAGATATCTTGGCTCTTCAGCGCTTGAAAGAGGTCTTTTGTAGTGATTTGCCCAATGCAATACATCTTGACTGCTGCTTCCATTGGCACTGATTGTAAAACCAAGTAATATGAAGTCTTTGACAACTTCAGTCTTTTCTCCATCCATCGTGATGCTGATTATTGGTCCATTGTGAGGATATTTGTTTTCTTGATGTTGAGGTGTAATCCATGCTGTAGACTATAGTCTTTCATTTTCATCAGTAAGTGCTCTAAGTCATCTTCACTTTCAGCAAAGTTGTGCCATCTGCAAATTGCAGGTTGTTAATAAGCCTTCCTCCAGTCCTGCTGCCACGTTCTTTATGTAGTCCAGCTTCTTGGATTATTTGCTCAGCATACAAGTTGAATAAGTGTGGTGAAAGGATACAACCCTGATGCGCTCCCTTCCTGATTTAAAACCATGCAGTAGCCCCTTGTGTTCACATGACAGCCTCCTGGTCTATGTACAGGTTCCTCATGAGCACAGTGAAGTGTTCTGGAATTTCCATTCTTCTCAAAGTTACCCATAATTTGTTATGATCTGCACAATTGAATGCCTTTGCATACTCAATGAAACACAAGTAAACATCTTTCTGGTATTCTTTGCTTTGAGCCAAGATCCATTTGACATCAGCTATGTCTCTCACTCCAACTCCCCTTCTGAATCCAGCTTACATTTCTGGAAGTTCTCTGTCAATATACTGCTGCA